GGAAAGTCCAAGTAAAATACGACCTCAATTAACTGGATTGGACGAGAGAGGGAGTGCAAACCACCTCAATTTGTAATCACCACCCAAATTTGTTTTGCGACATCCACTTTCCTCAATGTTGGTTTACACTCCCTCCCTCGATGGAGTATGGACTAGCCTGCAGTTTATGGTGTGACGTCAGATATATATTCCCTGTCCCTGGAGAGTTGAGATGTTAGTACACTGAAGAGCAGAAGGGTATATATACATATACAATTATTTTAAATCTAACACTCTTAGATCCGTAAAACAAAAACTCTTTTTGCCAAATTTTCGGTTTATTTAACCATCTTCAGGGCATATTCTAAAAAATATGCAAAATAAATAACTTGAATAATAGATGTTTAAAATTTAAAAGAATTTAAAGATAAATTTAAATATTTATATATATAATTCCAAGATTATTTTATCACATATTGCGAATTTTTTTTTAAATATTACAAACATTTCTTTTGCAATAATTTTCTTTTTTTTTAAAAATAGCACTTAACTGCACTAAACAAATTATTAGATACATATTAAAACATGATCACATTTTGCTCAATTGATGATAATAGATATTTTCTTCTATGCCGACATGTGCTTATTATTCACCATGCCCTGATTTAGAAGAGGATGATGTGTAGATGCGAGGATAAGAGTTTTTTCTGTGTTGCATAAATTGCATCTCTTCTGTGTTGCATAAATTGCATCTCTTCTTTGTTGCATAAATTGCATCTCTTATATAAAAACATGATCACATTTTGCTCAATTGATGATAATAGATATTTTCTTCTATGCCGACATGTGCTTGTTAATTCACTGCCCTGATTTAGAAGATGATGATGTGTAGATGTGAGGATAAGGGTTTTTTCCTTTGTTGCATAAATTCCATCTCTTCTTGGTTGGATAAATTGCATCTCTTTCTGGTTGGATGATATGAGGATTGAGGATGTATACTTGTCGATAAACCATTTTGTTACATAAGGTTTCTTTTGATGATTTAATTTCCAAATGTGCTTAAAAAGTGCCTTACTTTTTTTGTAATTTTATTCCTAAAAGATGATGTATGGTTCAGGTACCTCTCTTTTAAAATGTGATAGACACAGGCTACACAGACTGCTTATCTCATTTCACAGAGTGGGCTACATAGGCCTAAGTTGACCCGGCACGAATTTTAGAGTGCCATCTCACGGCCACTCGTTGAATATAATACCCATTCAGGGGTTAAGTATTACAACTTTTAAAGAAATACTCCAATTTTAAACATGAAACATAACATTTATAAATTCAGTCTTTTTTGAAGATTTTGTGTTTCGTATCCAAAGGATCCTTAAATATCCCTTATTACAGATGTTTCCTGATTGGTCGTGTACAGTACTTGTACACAATAGAACATGTTGTGGAAAATATCGCATATTTTAGCTGATAATCGATCTCTGTAACTCTCTTATCTCTGGTATTAGGAGCCAAACCAATATATGCCACTGTATCCTGGTCTGATTTTATTTCTGCTCTGTACACAATATATTTGGTTAAACATTTTCCATTTAAAGGGACAAATATTTTTCCCTCTGCAGTTACATTCCTTTTTATATGTTGCATTATGTTGTTCAAGGTGTTTAGGTAGAGGTTGTGTTGATGCTGCTGGTTCCATTATGTTGTTCAAGGTGTTTAGGTAGAGTTTGTGTTGGTGCTGCTGGTTGCATTATGTTGTTCAAGGTGTTTAGGTAGAGTTTGTGTTGGTACTGCTGGTTGCATTATATTGTTCAAGGTGTTTAGGTAGAGTTTGTGTTGGTGCTGCTGGTTGCATTATGTTGTTCAAGGTGTTTAGGTAGAGGTTGTGTTGGTGCTGCTGGTTGCATTATGTTGTTCAAGGTGTTTAGGTAGAGTTTGTGTTGGTGCTGCTGGTTGCATTATGTTGTTCAAGGTGTTTAGGTAGAGTTTGTGTTGGTGCTGCTGGTTGCATTATGTTGTTCAAGGTGTTTAGGTAGAGTTTGTGTTGGTGCTGCTGGTTGCATTATGTTGTTCAAGGTGTTTAGGTAGAGTTTGTGTTGGTGCTGCTGGTTGCATTATGTTGTTCAAGGTGTTTAGGTAGAGTTTGTGTTGGTGCTGCTGGTTGCATTATGTTGTTCAAGGTGTTTAGGTAGAGTTTGTGTTGGTGCTGCTGGTTGCATTATGTTGTTCAAGGTGTTTAGGTAGAGTTTGTGTTGGTGCTGCTGGTTGCATTATGTTGTTCAAGGTGTTTAGGTAGAGTTTGTGTTGGTGCTGCTGGTTGCATTATGTTGTTCAAGGTGTTTAGGTAGAGTTTGTGTTGGTGCTGCTGGTTGCATTATGTTGTTCAAGGTGTTTAGGTAGAGTTTGTGTTGGTGCTGCTGGTTGCATTATGTTGTTCAAGGTGTTTAGGTAGAGTTTGTGTTGGTGCTGCTGGTTGCATTATGTTGTTCAAGGTGTTTAGGTAGAGTTTGTGTTGGTGCTGCTGGTTGCATTATGTTGTTCAAGGTGTTTAGGTAGAGTTTGTGTTGGTGCTGCTGGTTGCATTATGTTGTTCAAGGTGTTTAGGTAGAGTTTGTGTTGGTGCTGCTGGTTGCATTATGTTGTTCAAGGTGTTTAGGTAGAGTTTGTGTTGGTGCTGCTGGTTGCATTATGTTGTTCAAGGTGTTTAGGTAGAGTTTGTGTTGGTGCTGCTGGTTGCATTATGTTGTTCAAGGTGTTTAGGTAGAGTTTGTGTTGGTGCTGCTGGTTGCATTATGTTGTTCAAGGTGTTTAGGTTGAGTTTGTGTTGGTGCTGCTGGTGTAGTTTGATTGGATGGAATAGATAGGTTTGAACTTGGGATAGATGGTTGGTTATTGAATTGTTTGACATATCATATTGTGTGTTTCAAAGTTTTCTGTTATGATTTGAGATAATTGAGTTCATATTTGGCATACAGCTGTATGGCAGTTTCACTGTAGAAGAATTGAAGAATTGTTTCAGTTCAATCTTGCCAAAATGTTTATTTATCAATGATAGAAATTTAGCTCCAATATCAGTTTTTACACTATCTAGGGAGGATTAAACCAAATGACTTTTCTATTTTTGGATCTATTCTTTTTATTTGTTGTTGAGGCAACTCTTCAAACTTGATTTCATCTGTATAACCTGCTTCTCGTAATGCTGAATTGTACACATGGGATTCTGAATCAAATTCTCTTTTGGAACAAGAAAGGGTAGATATTCTGTTTGAAATCATAATGGGAAGCTGTTTCTATGCTTTGTGGATGGTTTGAATTAACATTGATTTACTATTGTCTTTCCTATATGGTTTGTATGTGCTGTGTGCTGTCCTTCAAGTTTAGATACAGATCAAAGAAATATATATATATATCCATAGACACAGTGTTTCGTCCTATTAGGTCTAATCAGTGTGGCTCAATTAGGTCTAATCAGTGTGTCTCAAATAATCAGTTAATTAATTATGGATCTAACAAGCTAACCACTGCTCCATCAAACCCTGATGATTAGGTAATGAANTATACTTTCGAATTACAATGTTAAAGGGTTATGTACAATATCAGTTTCAACCCTGTTATTTAGTCTTTAGAACGTTAAATGAAAAAGTGTAAAAACAGATATAAAGAAAACATAAAATTGCACTAATTTCACTAAAAGATAAGCTCTTTAGTCTAAAAATATCACTTATATTTATAGTTTTGTCAGACAGAAAATTTGAGTTGACACTTGTGACGTTTAAACAGCTGTACTGAAAGTGTACGCATTTTGTGTTGCCGTCTATTGTACTTGACAACCTATTTGGTTATATGTATTGTATATATATATATATGTTAGTTAGAGCTGGCAAAACGGCTAAACCAAATTGGCTGAATTTTTTCGAGTGAACCCATAATCACATAGGCTAAAAAAAAGAATTCAACTCAAAAAATTTTTATTTTTTTTAATTACACATGCAGCTAGTTATTAATATTTTGTTGTATTTTCCAATTATTATTATTGTTCAGTAAAAACAGCTCCTGAGAATACAAAAGTTGATGAGATATCCCTGCTTCAAGCTATTAAAGTAAGTTCTAAACCAATTACTATCCTGGTTTGTCTTCCTAACTGAGGGGGGTCGGGGGGTAACATTACTGCAACTTTATTTATGTTTTTTAAATCAGCTATTTAATTGACAATGAAGTTTGATAAATATCGAAAGAGGTTCTTAGCATTGCATTTTTAAAATACTTTCGGTCTTGATGTGTATTCATTTTTTTACCCACCTTTACTTACTTACCTACCTACCTACCTACNCCCTTCTGGTCGCCTTTGGTACAAAAACTCCCAATTAATGGGGTGCTAACTGCGAACAAAAGAATGGGAAATTAACTAAGCTTGAAAATTATGATTGAGCGGAGTTGATTTAACTCGTTTTTCATAGGAAAAGGCTTAGATTATAGGCTAGACAATTTAAAGATAATGAACCTTCAAAATTAACCAGACTTAACTTGAATTAGTGTTTTTTAAAGATATAAACTTCTAAATTCAAAAGTTTCGGTCAAAGTGAAAAAGTTGAGCGTTGAAGCTTATCTCCCTTTTAGTTCAAAAGTTTCCAGCTCTAACTTTTTAACTTTTTTCTCCCTAAAATCAAACTTATTTAAAAATAATTATCCTCAGAAAAATCTTTTTGTTAAAACCATATCCCCGCTAAGGGAAAGCCGACTGTCTAGCGACCATTAGATAAAAGATTCACAAGAGTACCTTTTCTTCCAAGATGAATAATAACTTGATCGTAATCTTAATTTTATTTTAGATTTCTTTTCCGTACATTCAGTCCACCCTACCCACCATCATCAGAGCTCTCATCCATTCAAAGGTAAATGATAGATCATGTGCTGTCATCAGTGCTTGGAATCCGTCAAAATGTTGCAAATCCACCATTAATAACAAGAAAATCCATGACATTTTGTATGGCTGACCTTGGATTTTAAAAATCGGACTAAAGTATACAATATTATAAATACAAGTAATAAAGTACTATGATGAGAAGGAGTATGACCTGACCTTTATATATATATATAAAGTTGTAATCTCTGTTTGTTTGTTTGTATGTGATCATGGCTCAAAACCTCATAAGCCAATTTGCCACACATTTGTATTGAGGAACTCGGTATAACCACAGGAATGTTTTTAACCTTGGTTTGAACATTGTAAGTTAAGCAAATCGGTTTGTACGGCGCAAACTTATTTTCAGGCAATAATGAATTAATAGGATGAGCAGGAATTTGACCTGACCTTGACCTTGGATTATCTAACTATAATGTATACATAATATATATCTATTATAAATTATATACAATTAATCAATTACTAGGATGAGAAGGAATATGATCTGAACTTGACCTTGGATTATCTAACTATAATATATACATAATATATATCTATAATAAATATATTATGTACAATAAATGAATTAATAGGATAAGAAGGAATATGACCTGACCTTGGATTATCTAACTATAATATATACATANACCCTAGATCTGACCACCACCATTCATAAAATTCAAACTTATATTCAGTTAATCTTTGGTCGAGTTAAAGCAAGGTTATCACATTTGAAATCTGTTCATTTGTTTTTGTTTATATATTGTTACTTTTATCTTTTAATTATTTTAAATTTTAAACATCTATTATTCAAGTTACTTATTTTGTATGTTTTTTAAAATATGTCCCGAAGATGGTTAAATAAACCGAAAATTTGGCCAAAAGGGTTTTTGTTTCACGGATCTGAGAGTGTTATAATTAGAAGAATTGTATCCATCTATCTATCTATCAATCCTTATATCTATCTATCAATCAATCCACCTTTCTATCTATATGTCTATATATATATTTATATATCTATCTATGGAGCACGATCATTAGCCATTAACTCACTTGCAATCAAAATCAGTTGCTATCAGCCTCCAGTGCTATCAAACTCTACTCTCAACCCAGTTGCTATCAGCCTCCAGTGCTATCAAACTCTACTCTCAACCCAGTTGCTATCAGCCTCCAGTGCTATCAAACTCTACTCTCAACCCAGTTGCTATCAGCCTCCAGTGCTATCAAACTCTACTATCAACCCAGTTGCTATCAGCCTCCAGTGCTATCAAACTCTACTACCAACCCAGTTGCTATCAGCCTCCAGTGCTATCAAACTCTACTCTCAACCCAGTTGTGATCACATTCCTTTGCTATCAAGCAGTGCTTAGGATCTGGATCCGTTGGATCCGCAAGATTTTGGCTTCCTGAATCCGGATCCGCAAAAATATGCATTCGTGCTCCCTATCTATCTATCTATCTATATATCTATCTATCTAACTAGATGTCAGCTGTTGGATATTTATATTCCTGTGCTGGTTAACCTACTCCAGACGGAGGAGGCCGGGATTAGTTCCAAATCTCGCCACGAGATGGCTCTGATGCGGCTCACTCGGGTTGGAGCGCAATACCCAGCAGATTTCAAGGTACATTAGATTTTATTTTTTTAAATTTATAGTTTTTTTATCCCTGTAAGAGTTATTTTAATAAAATATTAAAAACATACTTAAAAAGGATAGAACATTTTTCACAATATTTGAATTATAATTTGTTCACAGAATTTAAACGAAAAATGAATTGTTAAGAGATTGTTGAGTTCTAATGAAGATCTAAAGCGCAGAGTAGAGAGTGCAGTTCTTCAGAATCAAGCGCAGGAGCGCGCTAAACTTCTGGTAGGAAGTTTACACAGTGTATTTTTATTTTATCATCAATATTGTTATAAATTATAGATAGAAAAGTACAGTACAGTACAGTACAGTACAGTACAGTACAGTACAGCACAGCACAGTACAGCACAGTACAGTACAGTACAGTACAGTACAGTACAGTACAGTACAGTACAGTACAGTACAGTACAGTACAGTAGTACAGTACAGTACAGTACAGTACAGTACAGTACAGTACAGTACAGTACAGTACAGTACAGTACAGTACAGTACAGTACAGTACAGAGTACAGTACAGTACAGTACAGTACAGTACAGTACAGTACAGTACAGTACAGTACAGTACAGTACAGTACAGTAGTACAGTANCTACACTACACTACACTACACTACACTACACTACACTACACTACACTACACTACACTACAGGACTGCAGTGTGTAATTTTTAAAGGATGTCCTCGATAGCCAGAATTTAAGGTTTTGTTTTGAAGAAATGAGAAATATCCGGGATACAAATTAGAATAATATTAACTATTATGAATTAGGCTAAATATTATTATATATTATTAGGCTCAACAACAACAACAACAAGTTCAAGTTAACAAACCTTCAATACAACTTAAAACTGATTTTAGTAATTTCAAATAGGTAATTTATTTATTTATTTTTTTATTCGATCATTCATTAATTCAAATTCATTTATTCATTTATTCATTTATTCATTTATTCATTTATTCATTTATTCATTTATTCATTTATTCATTTATTCATTTATTCATTTATTCA